TTCACAAAAAGAACATTGGGGAACTGGAGAAAGTACAGAGAAGGGCAACTAAACTGATAAGAGGCATGGAGGAGCTCAGCTATGAGGAAAGATTAGAGGAACTGAATTTATTCTCTCTTGAGAAGAGGAGATTAAGGGGGGATATGATCAACATGTATAAATACATCAGTGGTTCATATAGTGAACTCGGTGTAGAGTTATTCACCCTGAGGTCATCACAGAGGACAAGGGGGCACTCTTTAAGTCTGGAGGAAAAGAAATTTAATCTGCAAACACGGAAAGGTTTCTTCACAGTGAGAGCTGTGAAAATGTGGAATAGACTCCCTCAAGAGTTGGTTCTGGCCAGCTCAGTGGATTGCTTCAAAAAAGGCTTGGATTGTTTCTTAGATCCACAGAATATAACTGGATACTAACATTTATAGGTAAAGTTGATCCAGGGAATATCCGATTGCCTCTCGGGGGATCAGGAAATTATTTTTCCCCCCGAAGGAGCAAATTGGATCATGCTTTGCTGGGTTTTTTGCCTTCCTCTGGATCAACTGTGGGTATAGGATTATAACTTTTTTTTCTATTGTTGAAATGGATGGAATTTTGTCTTTTTTTCAGCCAGAATAACTATGTAACATTGGAACATTAAAAAAGACAGCATTTTAGCTTGCACATGATTGGATAATGGTAGTTAGCAGAGCTTCTGCTCATTTACTAAGCTCTGGAGCAACTGAACTTTGCAAATTGTACAGTATATTTACCTTTAGTAAATCAGCCTCATTGTCAAAGTAGCCTGTCAGATGTCTCATTGCTGTTTATACTATTAAGTTCCTGGATGTTTATACATTTTGGCAGAAACAACCAAAAAAACCTAACACACTAAAGGCTACCATAAACAGCTTAAACTTTGGCAATGCATGCTGAATCAGCAGAAATTCAAACTGTAGGTGACCCTGTGAACACCACCTAGGTAGACAAAAGTGGATTGTTCAATCCACTTTTGCTTTAGTTGTGTGAAAAGTTTCAGCCAAACAGAGACTGCACCCAAATACAATTGCTATCAGGGAAGATTTGTTCATCTGTGCTGTTTGGCACAGATGGAAATCTGTAAGATTCTTTTTGTTCTGCCTGCAGGCTGAACAAAAAAATGTACGCATGTATGGCAATCTAAAGTAAGGTGACTCTCCTATTTGTATAACATTCTGGACTTTTTATCTTGGGTCTGGTGTGAAGAAAATGCTCACTACTTTTCCTTCTTCAGGTGGTTGTAGTTACGGTCACAAGGTGTCTCCGCAGAAGTTTCTTTTACAGACAGAGATCTTTTTCTTTGAGGTAAAACCATGAACAGCAAGACAGGAAGGATGTGCAAGCAGAAGAACAAAGACCTGCAAGGAGGGAGAGAATAAGTCTGCATTACTCAGACATTATAACATAAAGAAATGCATTTGGGTCCTGGAGAAGGCGTTATCCCATTTTACCATGATTTAGTGAAGGCCATTGAAATTAATATGTTTCTCTGTAACTTATTACTATAGGACAATGTGAGAGAAAATAAACAGCAGGGACAAAAAAGTGATGAAACACTTTCATAACAGGAACCAAAAGACATGAACATAGAGGAGAGATTTGTAGAATTATAAAGGAGCTTTATAATGACTCAAATCTGCAGCAGCTTGGTTCATTGGTTGACTAGTTTCAGACAAATCTACTTTTTCCCCATGTTAAGGATGCACCAATACCAATTTTTTACAGCAAGTACGAGTACCGATATTTTTTTTTTTTTCTCACTGATACCAATTACCGACACCTGCCAGGAACTGTTTTGCTTACACTTCAGCTGTCAGAAGAACCCCGCTGACAGCTGAATGAGTGATCTGTTGTTAAGGACGCGGCACTCCGCTCCTTAACCAGTTCACCTCTCACACCTATTCACCCCTTATGGGTCAGAGCAATTTTTACATTTCTGCTATGGACCTGTTTATTCTGCGATAACTTTGTCACATACCAATGTAATACATTTATTGTTTTTTAAGGACAAACAAGGCTTTTGTTTCGTGAATATTGTCTTATAAGAATGGTATTTTTTTCACAATCCTTAGACAATTAAATATAGCAAAACTAAAAAAAACACACTGTTTATTTTCTTTGAGCGGTGTTAGTTTAATAATAAATATTGTTACCAAAAAAATAAAAGTGTGCATTTTATTCTGTAATTTGTCCTCTTTAAAATGACACTGAGATTATGACTGGTACAAAAAAGTTATTTTTTTTTAAAATTTTGCGCTTTTTTCAACGTGAAACACGTAAATATATGTTGACCTCTTTCCCTCCAGAGGATTTGCCGCCCTTCCTGACCAGACCAATTTTTGCGATACAGCACTGCGTTACTTTAACTGACACTTGCGCGGTCATGCAGCACTGCACCCAAATGAAATTTATGTCCTTTGTTTCCCACAAATGGAGCTTTCTTTTGGTGGTATTTGATCTCCTGTGCATTTTTTATTTTTTGCGCTATAAACAAAAAATACTGACAATTGTGAAGAAGAAAATTTTTTACTTTTTGCTATAAAACATATCCAGTAAAATTAAAAAAAAAAATCAAATTTCATCATAAATTTAGGCCAAAATGTATTCTGCTACATGTCTTTGCTAAAAAAAAATCCCAATACATGTAAATTAATTGATTTATGTGAAAGTTATAGCGTCTATAAATGGCAGTATATATACTGGAATCTTTTTTTTTTATAATAGCAATGGTGGCGATCAGCGACTTATGGCAGGACTGACACTGGGGGGACCTGACTAACTGCCACTGACATCCCCAGTGACACTAATACAGTGATCAGTGCTAATAAAAAGCACTGACACTGTACTAATGACACTGGGCAGGAAGAGGTTAACATCTGGGGCGATCAAAGGGTTAACTGTGTGCTGTGTGTCATGCAGCTTTGTATTGCTCTGCTACGCAGAGCAATACAAAGCAGCATGCTGGTGCTGACGGGAGAAATCTGCATTGTTTACATGCAGACTTCTCCCATGTCAGTGTTCCTTGGTGATCGCCGGAGGTGCGGGTAGGGTGGCATGCGTGTGCCCTCTACCCGGAAATGCAAAATCACGTATATATATGTGATTTTGTGCAGCCCTGCCACCCTCTAGCAGTAGTTCTGCTATAGGCTGGACCTGAAGCGGTTAAAGGTGTAACAATTTTAATAATAAAGCAAACAAAAACAAAAAGAAAATCAGCAGGAAACTAATAATTAAATGGAGAAGGAGAATAAGGAGTTAATTAGGGCTGATTAGGGTAAATTAGGGGTTAATAAGGGCTTAAGCAGAGGAACATATGAAAAAAAAAAAAAAAAAACTTTTTATACTTGTCAGGTTGCTTTTATTGACTTCATCTGCAGATCCAAGTTCATCTCTTTGATCTGTAGATCAAAGCAGAAAGATACAAAATGAAACAGTGTTTCTTTTTATCTTTCTGTTTTAGACTGCGCAAGGTTGTTTATAAACATTGTCAGGGTGCTTTTTTTTTTTTTGTTTTTTTTTGACAGCTCCAATTGCCAGAATGTTTCTTTTGATTACAATTCAGCTGTCAGCAGAGGAACCCTGCTGACAGCTGAATGAGTCATCCGTTGTTAAGTGCAGCGACCCCGCTCCTTTACAATTGGTAATAGCTGGCTTTTTTTTGTTTTTGCTAGCTTTTTTTTAATTTACCTTTCAGCTGTCAGCGGGGAATCCCACTGACAACTGAAATAGCTGAGCTTATCGAATTCAGGTATCAGAGCATTTGCACAAGTACCAATAGTATTGGCACAGATACAGGTATCGGTGCAACCCTACCCCACTTGTTTATAAATAAGCAATCTTTAGGTCAGCAGAATAAAAGGCAGGGAAGTGGTTTTTGAAAGTTGAAAGCCAAAGTACTAAATTTCTGGAAAAGCTGGCAAACTAGAACTAAACAGGACAATATCCACAGGTACTGGGAAAGCCTTGTATTACAATGAATTATTTATACCACCGTTCTACTGTTGTACTAAAGTTGCAGTTGTTTCCTTTTTCAAATCCTGGTACAGCAGTACTGTAATTTTAGGTGAACATAAATATAAAGATAACATACTAAAACAGTGGTTAGAACATTATGGAGTCTGAATGGTAATGGTAAAAGAGTAAAATCAGTCTGTATATGTGGTAAAGCATGCTTGTTATACTCACTGTGGAACCTAAGGGGTTAATCCTCTGCAATGTGTAAAAATACTGTTTAATCCTGTCTTCTCTGATCCTCCCCTTCTTTCAGTGTCCCCCTCTTATCTCCTGATAAGACATATATCGTGTGGAGACACTCTGCACATGTTCAGCTAGAGGGTTATTTTTCTCTCTTGGGAGATTGCATATGATCAGCACAGGGCCAACCAGAATTATCCAGAGGTCAGGGGTTCTGCATCCTCCTAAAGCAGAAAGAAAACTCCTCCTACAAGCTTTAACCAGTGCCCTGCTGGGCATTGATAGAAGTCACAAGACTGCTCTAACTGCTGATGAGAAAAGGTATTTAGCTGTTTATATTTACTGAAATGTCCATGTCCTGTGTACTGTGGGAGACCAGATATAGTGAATGCAGGGTCGATTTTTGTCTTGTCTAGGGCAGCACAAAAACGAAATACACCACTGACTCTGGCCATGGCTGATTGGATGCTAATTGGACAGGCTGAGCGACAGATTGCTTCCAGGGTAATTCCAAACTCAAGTTTGGACCAAACCTGTGCTCATCCCTACCCAGACATAAAAAATATTTCCAATGATCTTGGCAGCTGAACAAAGTACTGAAAGACAAGGCAAATTTATTCTGCTGGGAGGTATTAAGTGCATTACCATGAAGCAGAGGTTGGCTTTAACCTTTATAAACAGGTCCAATATTAAAATTTCAGATTTCCACAATGATTATCCAATCCACTTTTTCCACACCCTATCTATTACCTGTACAGCTGCAGTGATGGTCCAAGCTCTAGTAGTATGAAGGGAGCCACAGTGTAACTCATTGTTATTTGTGTAGAAGCCCAAGTGATTACATCATAAACAAATCTGTGTGTTGCTGTATGCTGAAACAATGGACGGATGTTTTGCCTCACCTGGCAGTAGAAAAAAAAAATTGCATATGCATTTTTCACACATTCTTTCCATATCTGACAAATGTTTAGAATGACTATACTTCTGCTTGGCACATATGGAATTCCTGCCAAAACGTTTTTAAGCTTTGGATGGAGTGAAGAATATGTAGAACTTCGGTTAGGTCAATAAATAAAAACTTGACAGAGGTTGTAACCCTCCCCCAATCCATCCAAAGAAAAAAACAGGTTTGGGTGGTAGAGTACCCCTTTAAGTTTAAACACTGAAATAATAATAATTGCATGCTGTAGCAACATTTCATATCCATGAAGGTTGCATAAAAGCCTTAAAAAGTTTTTCTTCACTTTACTTTATTACTTATTTAAATAATTACTTTAATTATTTAATTAATTAACAATAATTAGCAGCATGAAAGGGCAATTATATATATTTGGGGACTGTAACTAAAATTGGATTATACAGAATCTGAAGCAGCTGTGCATAGTAGCCAACCAGCTCCTACCTTCAGCTTGTTCAGTTAAAGTGGAACTTCACCGAAAAAGTTCTGGTCCTCCTCCTCCCCCCACTCCTCTGCCATTGTAGTACACATTTTGTTCTGGGAGCTGGTACCTATTTCTGACAGGTACCTGCTCCCACTTCCACTCTGCTTGCCTAGGCAAGCAGAGTGGAAGTCTCCCTCCTTCTCCTGAGATGCAGTTGTGCTCAAAAGTTTGCATACCCTGGCAGAAATTGTGAAATTTTGGCATTGATATTGAAAATATGACTGATCATGCCAAAAAATGCTCTTTTATTGAAGGATGATGATCATATGAAGCCATTTATTATCAAATAGTTGCTTGGCTCCTTTTTAAATCATAATAACAGAAATCACCCAAATGTGGCCATGATCAAAACTTTTGAGCACAACTGTATGTCACATGTCTCAAGAGACTGCAGGACCATTCTAAATATGCAGCGTATCTCAGGCATGCATAATGGGGAGCCAGCTGTGAAACAGCAGAAAGTCACAGCTGGCTTCCCACATCCAAGATAGTGGCACCTGGGATCCAAAAACCAGTTAAGAACTGAGCCAGGTGAGGACAGCGCTAGACTCCTTTGAAAATGAAAGCTAGCAGCTAACTGGTTGTCATGCACAACTGCTCCAGATATTGGCTGCTCCAGTCTTAGTAAATTCCCCTCTTTTTCAGGTATTTTTTAAATATTATTGCAATGAGTAATGTGTTATGTGGAAAAATGCAGTAACCAGAGCAACAAACCACTACTGATTTTGATTTTGGCCTTGCCTTAGTCCAGTGAACTGTTGCTGTGAATAACTGCGCTCTACAATCAATGCTTTGGTCTGTAGGAGCCTGCAGACATTACAAACAGCTGGCTATGGATGATGAAGTGGTCTTTCTACGATTCTGTGCCTAAACTACAAAAAGCAATAAGACAAAGGGGTTGTTTTACTAAAACTGGAAATGCTAAATCTGGTGCAGCTGTGTATGGTAGCCAAACAGCTTCTAACTTCAACTTCTTCAATTAAGCTTTGACAAAAAATTCTGGAAGTTGATTGGTTTCTATGCAGAGCTGCTCCAGATTTTGCACTCTCCAGTTTTAGTAAATCAACTGCATATTATTGTCCTTCATGTAATGTCATACACAGCAGGTCCCTGGACTGTTTCCACCCACTGCTCTACACTATGGATCATTAAGCCTGGGTTCACACTGATGCGGTGCATAATTTGCACCGGTTTCTGTGCGAATTCCGCACCACATCATAATTGCATCTGTTCATGTGAACCACTGCAGGTTACATAGTTACATAGTTGGTCTAGCTGAAAAAAGACAAAAGTTCATCCAGTTCAACCATAGAAAAAAAAAAGTTTAAATCCTACACCCACAGCTGATCCAGAGGAAGGCAAAAAAAAAAACAGCAAAGCACGATCCAATTTTCTCCTGCTGGGAAAAAAATTCCTTCCTGATCCTCCGAGAGGCAATGGGATATTACCTGGATCAACTGTACCTATAAATGTTAGTATCCAGTTATATTCTGTGTATCTAAGAAACAATCCAGGCCTTTTTTAAAGCAATCCACTGAGCTGGCCAGAACCAACTCTTGAGGGAGTCTATTCCACATTTTCACAGCTCTCACTGTGAAGAAACCTTTCCGTGTTTGTATGTTAAGTTAACAATTACCTGAAATTGATTCGCAAAATGCGGTGCGATGTGCAGAATCGGATCATATGGGTATTCACACACATTCTAGTGTGAACAAAAAAAAGGGCCCTGCACCTTTTTGGTGCAGATGCGGTGCGATTTGAGCCATACAAAATTCATGTGATTCCTGTGTGAATCACAAGCGATTTTCCACACTGCAGAAGTGTGAACCCAGGCTAAAAAACAATTATCAACTACCATTACTGACAAACCCCTAATGTACACTAATGTAAATATTTTGTCTAACCATTCTACCTATTTAATGGTTACACAGGGCAAGATAAATTCCTACAACACCACCATTCTGTATGATACAATACCTTTATTGCTTTTGCCACCTCTCCAATCCTCTACACTTGCTCTGTTAGAAAACTACATTTCTAGATATAGGGCAAACAAGCATGCTCACTCCCCATCCCATAGAGATGTACTTGCATCCTGACCATCCTATCAGCAGACCTGCGTACTGTCACACAGGGAAAATGTGTTTAGAGTGCCATGCAGATACTGGGGTTTATTTACTAAAGGCAAATAGGCTGTGCACTGCAAGTGCAGTTGCTCTAGATCTGAGGGGAACATGCAAGGAAAATTAAAAAAAAACAGCATTTTTGCTTGCACATGATTGGATGAAAGAAATCAGCAGAGCTTCACCTCATTTCAGAGCTTCCCTTCACTGCTATAGCAACTGCACAGCCTAATTGCCTTTAGTAAATCAACCCCATTGACTTTCAGGAAAGCCATTAACGACCTAATGCATTTGGGGGCTATAATGATCAAGGTGGTAGGCAGGAGCTTAAAGTCACTGGGGTTGATTTATTAAAGGTATATATATTGTATAAATATACTTAAAGTGCACTGCAAGTGCAGTTGCTTTAGATCCAAGGGGAAGCTCTGAGATAAGGCAAAGCGCTGCTAATTTCTTTCATCCAATCATGTTCAAGCAAAAATGCAGTTTTTTTATTTTCTTTGCATGTTCCCCTTAGATCTAGAGCAACTGCACTTACGGTGCACTTGCAGTGCACTTCCTAGTGCAATTGCAGTGCACAGCCTATTTGCCTTTAGCAAATCAACCCAACTGTGTTGTACTGGAGGGTTCCTGTCCTGCACTGCAGCTGCAGTGTGACTTTGCTTTATTTGAATCGCACAAAACGTTACCTTTAAATGCTTTTTTCCTCTCTGTAATGTATGCCTGCAGCCTGTGTATCACATTGATCACACGGCATCAGGCCATATCATCTACAAACCTTGTGACTTCCTCTCAGCTTGGCTTTGTCCTTAAATCATGCAGTTATCTTACAAGCTGTTTGTACTCACACACAACCTCACTATCTCCGCATCTTTTATTTACAGGTGGCAAAGGCTTGGAATGTAAGTGAAAGTAAGCACGTACATAATCTCCTTTTTTTAAGTTATGCCTATAGACTTTTATATAATATGTGCATTACAAGAAACAAGTTACCATCCCTCAATTTCTTTGTGCACATGGATCTTATGGAGTATGGAAGCATATATGGGACCTCTTCTGTGCTTTTAAACATCTTTTTTTTCTTTGCTCTTTTCTAGAAATGCATTAGGCTGTAGTAAGGCCTGGTTCACACCAACGCGTCTTTTTTTGTGTTTTTGCAGAGACACACTACAGTCCATTTAATATGGTTTCCTATAGGACACATTCACATCTATGGTTTTTTTTGAGCTGCTGCATTTTTGGAAAGGGTCAGAGACTTTTTTGAACGCAAAAAAGCTGATTTTTTTGCTACAATAGAGTTCAATGGAGAAGCTGCTGACATGCATGTAGTGCGCTCTGATGCGTTTTTGCTGCATTTTGCATTTTTATTTTGCCCAGCAACAAAAATATGTCTACTTTAACCAAAAAAAAGCTGAAATAAATGCAAAAAGCTGTAAAAACGCACTGCAGAAATCACTGCAAAATGGACAAAAAGCACAATGCATTGGTGTGAACCAGGCATAATACCCAAACAGCCCCAAATTAAAAAATTTCATAGTAGCACAGGTGAGGTCCATCAATGGTATAGATACACTGCTGATCACTGATACATTTCTGTTCTGCGAAACTACTGTGCCCAGTGCTGTGCAGCAGAGGACATTTAAAATTATATTGAAACATTGAAGCAACTTACAAAAGGGGGTGTAGAGAAGCTGGTAAAAGTTAAAATGGACAAAATTTAAAACTAAATAATAAAAAAAAATAAATCTGTGAATTCTTCACTTTCAATGCTAACTGCATGGTATGATCAACTATTGTTGCTATCAAAGGAACTGCTTTGAGAAAAGCCATCCAGTCCTTGATGGAATGCATACATGTTGACAGGAAGTGGCTGCAATAGATCAGCAGCATAAGCTACAACAAAGGATAAAAGCGGTAAAAAATAATGATTTATTTTAATAATGGCAATTGTTTATAATACACAATACTTTAGCAAGCCAAATGTAGTTTAGTTAGGGTTTACATGTACTTTGTCATAGTCTATGAAGCTATTATATGACTTACCCTACGGGCTGCTAGCGTGATTGGCACAGCAGTGAGAAATGTGCAGTAATATCCTGGGTGTACACCATGCCAAGCTGCTGACAGTACAAAAGTCGACAACAGTGGGTTGTATGGACTTCGGTCATAGCACACCCTAAATGAGAAAATAGAATAAGCCTAAAAATGAGGATGATTAGGCCTGCCAAACATAAATTAGACTGTCATTGAGAATGACAGGAGTTAAGAGATCTTCCAAAGGAGTGAACCTTGTGAGTAACCACTGCAACCTGCATCAATGTATTGTTCTACTTTCAACAGCGAAAACAAACACACAGTTAGGCAGGCCATAGATGGTCCGAAAATCATCCGAAAATTCTTCCAAAAGAATAATCGACCGATTTTCGGATCGTTAGTGGGTGAATTTGTCGGCCGTTTTTCGTGATTTTGACACATTAATCGGTCATGTTGGAAAAATAACGGCCGATTTTTTCGATCAGACGATTTTCACGGCAATGATGGGCAAATCGGCTGCTCTTTTTACCGATTAAAAAACCGTGCATGAGCCGTGACCTGCAAGAAGAAGGAAAAGAAGAAAAAGAAGAAGGTGAAGACAAAGAAAAACATCTGTATCTATTTGTATCCATTTCGGATACAGATGTTTCTATTCAGATACAAATAGATACAATGTTGCATCTGCAATACTTTTAAATGTCAAAAATAATAGCGGTGTCCCTGCAGAGAGCTCCACTATTATATTTGACATTTAAAAGTATTGCAGCTGCAACATTGTATCTATTTGTATCCGAATAGAAACATCTGTATCCGAAATGGATACAAATAGATACAATGTTGCAACTTTGCTATACTTTTAAATGTCAAATATAATAGCGGAGCTCTCTGCAGGGACACTGCTATTGTATTTGCTGGCCGTAGACGGGATGAAAATCAGCTGATATTTTTTTACCAATGGTGGTAACGCCGGCCGATTGAACGACCGATTTTTCCTTTTTTTAAACAAAAAACGGCCGGTTTTTGCCCTGTCTATGGCCTGCCTTACAGAGATTTTCTAGCATGATAAAAAGCAGATGCTTTGACTGCCCATGGTATCAATGGGGAGCAGGCTAAGTTTTTTTTTTTTTTCTTACATGAAAAAATTACTCCATGACCTCCCTCAGACTGGCCTGCAATTCTCCTAAAGGTGGCCATAGATGGAGTGACTTTCTTTTCTGCAACCACAGGATTCAGTGTTGATGGGGGAATCCCTCCCATAGAGCCATTGGGGTTGATTTACTGAAGGTAAATATACTGTGTACCACTAGTGAACTGCAAGTGCAGTTGCTTTATATCTAAGAGAAAGCTCTGAAATGAGGCGAAGTTCTGCAAATTTCTTTCATCCAATAGTGTACAAGCAAAAATGCTGTTTTTTTATTTTCCTTGCGTGTTCCTCTCAGATCTAGAGCACCTGCACTTTTAGTGCACTTGCAGTGCACTTCCAAATGCATTTAGAATGCACTTGCAGTGCAAAGCCTATTTACCTTTAGTAAATCAACCCCAATGTGTTCTCCCAGCAGAAGGGGCGGGGGAGTGCTGTTCCTGCCAGAACACATTGAATACTGCTAGCTGCTATAATAGCTGCTAGCAGTAATCGCATGTAAAATCTGACAGGCTGGTTGTTTTAACCTGTTTCACCTGTTATGACTCCAGTTATGATTAAACAATATTATAAAGCAAACATTCTCACCATTTTTAATCTTGCTATCCAAATTCTGATCAGTTAAAAATACCTGACACACACTGAACTATTTGGAAGGGCCATCTCTAAATTAGCTGGTGGAATATGGCATTTTATTTCACTAAAATAGGAAGTCGGGATGATTTAGAAATTCAGAAAGTACTGTAAAGTCTCACTTTCAACATAAATCCCCCCCAAAAAATGTTTTCATTCTTCATTTTAGGAAAATGGGCAGAGCCATGTCAACTGTGCATGTGGAACTGTTGGGTTCTACCAGCAAAAAACTTCTTTTCCTCTCAGCTACAAGAATCTATAATCAGAAAAACACTCATTGCTCTATAGCAGTGGTCTCCAAACTGTGGCCCAGGGGCCAGATGTGGCCCTTAGCCCACTTTTATCTGGTCCTTGGGGCACTATTTTTCTCCACCGATACCAACAATGGGGCATAATTCCCCCTACTGACACCATTAAAGGGGCAGCATAACTTCCAATGACAGGTCACAATTCCTCCCAATGACATCAATGACAGGTCACAATTCCTCACAATGACACCAACAATGTGGCCCAATGACAATAACGATGGTGCGCTATTCCTCCCACTGATAGCAAAGATGTGGCATTGTTTGTTTTCCGCAGAAGTGAGGACCCTTTCTACTTCCAATAGTCCGGCCCCCCTTAGGTCTGAAGGACAGTAAACTGGCCCTTTATTTAGAAAGTTTGGAGACCCCTGCTCTATAGGTCTTGTGTAACAAACAGACATCTTTTAAAGATATTTGCAGTATTTTTAAAGCACTTTTGATGACCTGTACATTAGTGGGTAATAGTGCTTACTGTATGAATGATCTTCTTGAAAAGGAAAGAAAGAAAGCTATCGCAGCCATCACATCTAAGAATAGGTAAGCTGCAATATAATGTTTACTTTTGGGTTTAATACCCCTCTCTCATCCTCAAACCAGGGGTGCCCAATTTTCTTCAACATCAGGCTCCGATACTTTCTAAGGGGTGCACATTTTTACAGCTGTATCTAAAACATTAGCTAGGTTGAGCAGCACCTGGAAGCATGTTTGAAATCTACCAGTGTTATAAATATTGCAGGCAAATCCAGGCTGGTGAATCTGCTTGGATTTGCTAGGACTTTTATAAATACACCTCAAGGATCACTCACCAATTAGATACACTGAATCAAACAGTATTTTTTTGCTGATACAAGCAAAGATGCCATAGGTGATCCACTGAACTAAGTTTATGTAATTCTATACAGGAAGTCCCTGAGTTACGGACTTCCGAGTTATGATCGACTCCTATTAATGAAGAGAGGCAGCATGACATCACTTCTGGCTGCTGGCGCTCCATGCTGGTCCCAGAAACCTCCGAGCAGCCATCTTGCTGGCCACTGTACTGTGCACTGCATGGTCAGAAGTGCCGGACACATCCCACATTACTCCATGGCCACAAGTGCCCCAAATAAACCCACATCACTGCCTGCCCAGAAGCACACCCAGCAGTGCCCGGAACATCCTACATCATTGCACAGTCAGAAGCAGAGGCGGACTGACAACTCATGGGGCCCCCGGGCAATAGGGGATCATGGGGCCCCTGTGTCCTTGCCCAAACTCAAAAAAGCCTATGAAAAAGGTACCAGGGGCATCTCATGGGGCCCCCCACTGACCCCGGCCCTTGGGAAGTGCCCGAGTTTCCAAATGGTCAGTCCGCCCCTGGTCAGAAGTGGTTGAAACCCGTGGAGCTGGTATTTATTACAATACTGTACTTTGTGCCCACTACTATTGAGAGTATGCCCTGTACTGTACTTGTACATGTAACGTCTATGATAGCAGGACTGTGCTACTGTACAGTATATCCACCTGTGTTCCAGCATGAGCTCTCGTCAGCTGCCTATGTACTGTATGGTGTGGGGTTAGAGCCACTGTGTACTGTGTGTTGTGGTTATAGAGCCACTGTGAGGTTTTTACTTCTATCTGTATCCTCATCAGAAAGATTTAATCTCACTTCCCATCCCTGAGACAACAAAATGTGAGAGGAAATCTACCCTTGGAAAGAAAAATCACTCCTGTAATTTTTTGGCTGGAGGTACACTTAAGAAACTTACCTGTTCCAACTTACATACAAATTAAATTTAAGAACAAACCTACAGAACCTATCTTGTTTGTAACCCGGGGACTGCATGTATGCTGAATTGGGTAAGTGGAGGTATTACTCTTTAGGAACTGGGAGTCATAGAAAAACCCACTGATCTATTAGGGCCTTGTTTCCATTGTGACTATCAACAATTCATTCAGAGGCCAATACTTAACTCTTTTAACCACACTGCTGTTTGAATGTTCCAGTTGTCAATAAACATCTTGAAGCTGGTAGCGGTCTACAAGGAAAAACATACAAGGAACACAATAGTATGTAATGTATACAGTAACTATAAACATAGTATATAAGTTTGCAAAACAGTACTTGTTGTCCTTAGCAAAACAGAATTCTACATGCACTGTACACAAAACATAATAATATAAAGGGACACTGTCACTATGACAGTTAGGACAATGTGACAGTGTCTGTGAAAAGACACCCAACCTACTGATCCTCTCTGTGAACACACCCACGCCTTCCTCCATTGCAGCTGGTACCAATAACCTGGAGTCGGAGCCTAGTCACCCCTCTGTCATGTGACAGTGTTTGTCCTTAGTGACTAGCCACTAAACCAAAACACTAAATAAACAATATAACATATATAGAATAAACTTGTCATTTAAAGTAAACCTATCACAAGCCCAGACAATTTAAAGCAGAACTTTATGTCTTTTTCCTATTCTCCAATACCCTTCCTCCCCTCTCCTGTATTAAAAAAATATTGCCAAGTTATACTTAGCCTCTCCACACTTTAAGCTCTGCCCCTGTCTGACCCCTCGGGAACAGTGCATCTTGGGGCAGAATGGCACTTACCTCATTCTACCCATTTCCTGTGAGCTCAGTCTTCCATTTACATACCCCCTGGGGGTGCATCATTACAAAGACTGGGCTCACATCATTATGTGATGCTCAGAATGCCCACCCTCAACTGCTAAAGAAGAAAGAAAGCTGCTGTGATGTCACTAGAATGGCTAAAAGACTGCAGGAAAAAGTTTAATAAAAAATGCCGGGGGGAAGGGGGATATTTTATTGAGCATACATGGAAAACGTCCAAGTAATCCCATTCTTAAAAGGCATAGTTAACCATTATCAAAACATTCATAAGGCTAGGTTCACACCTTTGCAGGTTATGTTTGAGCCGTTTCTGCATTGTGTTTTGCGTTGCATTTTTACCGTGTTTTTTTATTTTTTTTTTATTTTTCTTGTTGCTAGGCAGATTTAAAACGCAAGACACATCAAAAAAGCGGCAACTGCACAGCAAAAATGCAATACACGCTTTTCTGCAGTGTTTCCATTGAAGTCTATAGAACCAAAAACGAAACTTATTGCGTTCAAAAACTTCCCTGACCCTTTCCAAAAAACGCACTAGGTGAAAACGCACAGGAGTGAACATGTCCCATAGGAAATCATGTTAAATGGACTGTACTGTGTTTCTGAGAACACAAAATGCTGCAGAAAACGCTTAGGTGTGAACCTAGGGTAAGCAGATAAGAGGTGTCTGTAGATAGAAACAAACTGAGCAGCTTTGACCAAAGATGAATAATGCCCTTTCTAGATGTAGGCCTTTAACCTACCACATCAAGCACGACTGGAAGACTCCTTGGATGCTGCTAAAAGAGGCCCAGCTGATACTGTTCACCTTTACCATCACAGGAGTGAGATCTTTCTCTGATTCATCTTCATATGTGCTTTCTCTACCCTGATGCAGTAGCTCTGAGCTCTGCATTTGAGAGCTCACTCCTGTGATAGTGGAGGTGGACAGGACAGGTAGGCTTCTCTTAGCAAAGACTTAAAACCCAGGACCCTGCATTTACTATATCTGGTCTCCCACAGTACACAGAACATGGAAATGCAATTATTTTAGTAAATATAAACTGCGAAATACATTTTCTCATCAGCAGTTAGAGCAGTCTTGTGACTTCCATCAGTGTTCAGCAGAGCATTGGTTAAAGCTTGTAGGAAGAGTTTTCTTTCTGCCCTAGGAGGATGCAAAACCCCTCACCCTCTGGTCTGGACAGTGCTGATTGGCCCTGTGCTGATCACATGCTCTCTTCCAAGAAAGAAAAAAAATCTCTCTAGCAATACACACCAAACTGAGCATGTGCATGTGACTACGGGTTCAGTCTATCTTATCAGGAGATAAGACGTGGACATTTGAACAAGAGGAGGGGCAGAGAAAACAGGATCAAATGGCCTTTTTACACAATGCAGAGGATTATCCCCTTAGGTTCCACAGTCAGTATAACAAGCATGCTGTACTGCATATATAGACTGATGTTACTGTTGTGGATTTAGTAACACTTTAACAAAGCCCTAGGAGTTTTCCAAACAGGCTTCATGAGGTAGGTACAGTTGTGCTCAAAAGTTTGCATACCCTGGCAGAAATTGTGAAATTTTGGCATTGATATTGAAAATATGACTGATCATGCCAAAAAATGCTCTTTTATTGAAGGATGATGATCATATGAAGCCATTTCTTATCAATTAGTTGTTTGGCTCCTTTTTAAATCATAATGATAACAGAAATCACCCAAATGGCCATGATCAAAAGTTTACATACCTTGGAATTTTTGGCCTTGGTACAGACACACAAGGTGACACAGACGGGTTAAAATGGCAATTAGAGGTTCATTTCCCAGATCTGTGGCTTTTTAAATTGCAATTCGTGTCCGTGTATAAATAGTCAATGAGTTTTTTAGCTCTTACGAGGAAGCACTGACTAGGCTAGATACTGAGCCATGGAGATCAGAAAAGAACTGTCAAAAGTCCTGCGTAACAAGGTAATGGAACTTTATAAAGATGGAAAAGGACATAAAAAGATGGTAAGGTAAGGCTGAGAACTACCGAGCGGCGGCGAAGGCGGGTAGGCGGCGGTGAGGGGTGGGGTTTTTTTCGGCACCTGTATCAGTGCTTTTTTCACTTTGGCCTACGGCCGAAAGGGGTGTTTTCGGCCGAAACGTTTCAGCCACCGAAATTTCAGTGCATCCCTACTTTTAAAGCATCGCCTATGGAAAATGCAAGGTGCTGAAGTTTGTTGCCATTTCACGGGCGCACACAAATTTAAGGTTTGACATGTGGGGTATCTATTTACTCGGAACAACCTCATCTTTTATATATTTCCAAATAAATAGTTAATTTATCATGTTTGTTTGCCCTAAAATATACTTTAGTGAATTTTTACTGAAATATTGGATTTCCTAGACCTTTGCGGTAATATTGTTTAACACAGAAAATTGCAACTACTACAATTTTATTTTCTAGAGTGTCTGCTTTCATAAAGTATACAATGTTCTGAGGGTTTATGTAATCTAAAATTTTTTTTTAACGTGTTCAAAAAACAGCTCTAGTATTGAAAAATCTAAACCTTTATATATGCAGAGTAAGGTAAATGAATCATTACATCCATAGATATAGGTAGATTACGTTGTTTGCAAAAATGACTTTTACGGTATAGGCTGTGTTTGGCACCACCACCTTCGGAAGTTTTCTACTGGTCTCTGTAATCATCAATCTCTTTTAAGGACAAATAGGCAAAGGGCAGGGCCAATGTGACTTTTATAGAAAAACTCCATATTTGCATAGAAGGTGGTGGCTTTCACTGAAGATAAGCTCTGTTTATGCATTTGTTTTATCAGATGCTTAGTTTGAATTGCCTAGTTTTCTGAAAGGTTTACTTTACAGCATGCATTAACGTTTACAGTTTTTTTTATATGAAAGGTTTTTCCTACATTCAGAAAAAAAAAATAAAGAATAAAGCTTTTGAGGTAAACTGCAATAGCCTCCTATTGCACAACCATCGTCACTTTCTACCTGCTCATGAATAGTCCAATCAGAGATGAAGTGTGCCAGGCCTGACTATCACTAATATATAGAAAGGTTGTTATTCATAGAATAAAATTTTCAAAAGAGACATTGCCAATAAATAAATGAGAAAGAATGAATGTATTTAGGCAGTTAAAATTTTAATACTTTCCCTAGTATATCTATCTGGGCTGTTCTTACCTCAATTTTTAATATATTTAGGTTGGTCAACAAATCCCATCTCTCCTTTCCATCTTCAGAGATTCCATTAAACCCAAAGCCAGCTGCATTATTTATGGTATCCGCTAAATGTAAAAAAACAAAACAAAAAAACACACATAAATTATATATAGCCTTTATTTTCAATATTTAGCAGTCATTCTATACCTGGAGCACCAAAGGTGTGTTGTTGCTTCTGAATAAGGCCTTTTTCGACCTAAAGCTGGGGTCTCCAAACTTTCTAAACAACGGGCCAGTTTACTGTCATCAAACCTTAGGGGGGTTGGACTGTGGCCACTGGGAGAAGAACATGCCCTTGCATCAATGGAAGTGGACAAAGTCTCAGGCTTTGTGGTCAGTGCAAGTAAAAAAAAATACATAGTATCTGTGTTCAATAGGAGGAGTAGTGCCCCATCATTGGTATTGTTGGTATTGGTGGAAGGAATAGTCCCCCGATGTTGGTGTCAGTGAAAGGAATAGGGCCCCATCATTGGTATCAGTGGGGGGAATAGTGTCCCCTCAGTAGGGTCAATGGGAGGTATTATGCCCCACTGTGTCAGTGGAATGCAAGGTGCCTCATCGTTGGTGTCAGAGGAAGGAATAGTGCCTTGTATCAGTGAGAGTAACAGTGCTCCAAAGGCTAGATAAATGCTAGCAAAGGGCTGCATCTGGCCCGTGGGCCATAGTTTGGAGACCACTGGCCTAAAGCCATATGACACAGCAATGGTTCTGCTATGACAATGTGGCACTCCATGAAACGTCAGCAGGAAATTGTACATACTGGACTCCACTGAAACAAAAAAGGAGCAGTTGATTCATCCCACGTGTGCCAACCTAAAACTGACATATATTAGGCTTTTAAATTTTTCATTTCTCACCTAGAGTCCAGGCAAAATAGTACTTGGGTCTTCTTGCGGCTGCTGTCAGATAGAGATCTGTGAAGTGACCAAATAATGAGCGTTCTGGATCACTAGATATAGAGAACTGATCCGAAACTGAAATATGGATAGCGAGCAGAACACAGCATATGGTCAACTTCTTGCATACTGCCACCTAGTGTTAGAAAATATTTCAGTATCATGTTAAAAATCAATCTTCATGTAAATACTCAATCTTAGCAAGCGTTCCTTTATATTGTATGCATTACATCACATACTGATGATGTACTGTATTTTCTGATGTACCACCAAGTATTGCCTTTAAAATTAAAGGAGTCGTGTCCCAAGATAAATATGGAGACTGTTATTTATTACTGATTCAGAAAATGCTACTTGCCTTGTTGTCAAGGTGACTCATTGGGGCTGAATTCCTAAAGGCAAATAGACTGTACACAGAAAATGAGGGGAAGCTCTGCTGATTTCCATCATCCAGTCGTGCAAGCAAAAATGCTGTTTTTTTAATTTTCCTTGCATGTGACTGGGTATTCTTTGCAAAGTGAAGCTTCATCACATTTACTAATCATTGGAGCAAACGCATTTGCAAGTGTGCACAGTCTATTTTCCTTTTGTAAATCAACTCCATTGGCTTCAGTACTTTCTGAGTTTCTGGTCCAAAAAAAGTATGCTGAGTTAAGAGCTCTGATTTAATTCTGACCCAAAAACAGCAGCTGTAAAAACGTCCAGTGTGCATGAGGACTCAGGCCAAGGTAAAACATTTTTTTCTTTTTATTGAACTACCTGTATTAGAACTGCCAAGTTTTGTATTGCTGTCTCTGTCCCCATTGAGGCTATTTCCCCTCACCTTGATTCTTATGACACCAAGACAAGAAATGAGGGAGACAGAGGACACTGAATTATGAAGGCTCAGAGTGAAAAAAACACAAAAAAAGTTAAAACTTTTCCCCAAAAACAGTTTTTTTTTTCAATATCCTCCCCCCTTTTAGAGATATTCCCTACCATTTCCTTGACCCCATTGTCTCTTGTCCCCAGGGCAGGAGGAGGTGAGGGGAAATCTTCACAGTGGGGACAGACAGCAAACCATTTTTGCTCTATCAAAAACAAAAAATGTTTGGGCTTTATTCCCCCACAATGATATATCTATAATCACTACATTATATATACAGTATTGTGGTAAATTCCAAAAATATCAGGCCACTGGTTTAGAAGGAATTGTAAGGCTTTAACTGAAGGGACAGAGTAGCAAATACTGTACAAGCCATTCCTATCACTTCCATATTCTATAAACTAATTTTATGGGTAGAAATTGCAACTTCCCCTACAGGAAAACATCTCATAGGAAGTGTGAACTTGTCTAATGTCATGTCCAAAGAGAATCTCATCCCTTCTCCCTCCCTGTGCAGTGGTGTCTCTGCATCTTCTCATTCCTCCTCTATCCTGTGTGGGCTGTGTCATTGTAACCTCTAACACCTCCTCTCTCCTGTAAAGCTGAGTATCTGTAGCTTCCCATCCCTCCTTTGTCCTGAAGAGCTGCCTCTGCAGCTTCTCATCCTTCCTCTCTTTTGTGTGGTTATGTGTCTGCAGCTTCACACTTTTCCTCTCACCTGTGAAGCTGTGTCTGCAGCTGTGTATCACCTGTGAAGCTATTCCCATCCCTCTCTCCTCTGCCCTGTAAAGCTGCCTCTGCAGCTTCTCATCCTTCATCTCACCTGTAAAGCTGTGTCTCTGCAGCTTCTCATCCTTCCTCTCTCCTGTGAAGCTGTGTCCCTGCAGCTTCTCATCCTTCTTCTCTCATGTGAAGCTGTTTCTCTGCAGCTTCTCATCCTTCCTCTCACCTGTGAAGCTGTGTCTCTGCAGCCTCTCATCCTTCTTCTCTCCTGTGAAGCTGTGTCTCTGCAGCCTCTCATCCTTCCTCTCTCCTGTGAAGCTGTGTCTCTGCAGCCTCTCATCCTTCTTCTCTCCTGTGAAGCTGTGTCTCTGCAGCTTCTCATCCTTCCTCTCACCTGTGAAGCTGTGTCTCTGCAGCCTCTCATCCTTCTTCTCTCTGTGAAGCTGTGTCTCTGCAGCCTCTCATCCTTCTTCTCTCCTGTGAAGCTGTGTCTCTGCAGCTTCTCATCCTTCCTCTCACCTGTGAAGCTGTGTCTCTGCAGCTACTCATCCTTCCTCTCCTGTGAAGCTGTGTCTCTGCAGTCTCATCCTTCTTCTCTCCTGTGAAGCTGTGTCTCTGCAGCTTCTCATCCTTCCTCTCACCTGTGAAGCTGTGTCTCTGCAGCTACTCATCCTTCTTCTCTCCTGTGAAGCTGTGTCTCTGCAGCTACTCATCCTTCCTCTCTCCTGTGAAGCTGTGTCTCTGCAGCTTCTCATCCTTCTTCTCTCCTGTGAAGCTGTGTCTCTGCAGCTTCTCATCCTTCCTCTCACCTGTGAAGCTGTGTCTCTGCAGCTACTCATCCTTCCTCTCTCACCTGTGAAGCTGTGTCTCTGCAGCTTCTCATCCTTCTTCTCTCCTGTGAAGCTGTGTCTCTGCAGCTACTCATCCTTCCTCTCTCCTGTGAAGCTGTGTCTCTGCAGCTACTCATCCTTCCTCTCTCCTGTGAAGCTGTGTCTCTGCAGCTTCTCATCCTTCTCTCTCACCTTCTGTAGCTTCCCATCTCTCCTCTGTCCTGTAAAGCTGCTGTCCTTCTCTCTGCAGTCTGCAGCTTCATACCTTCCTCTCTCCTGTGAAGCTGTGTCTCTGCAGCTTCTCATCCTTCTTCTCTCCTGTGAAGCTTTGTCTCTGCAGCTTCTCATCCTTCTCTCTCTCCTGTGAAGCTGTGTCTCTGCAGCTTCTCATCCTTCCTCTCTCCTGAAGCAGTGTCTCTGAAGCTGTGTCTCTGCAGCTACTCATCCTTCCTCTCTCCTGTGAAGCTTTGTCTCTGCAGCTTCTGTGAAGCAGTGTCTCTGCAGCTTCTCATCCTTTCACCTGTAAAGCAGTGTCTCTCAGCTTCTCATCCTTCCTCTCTCCTGTGAAGCTGTGTTTCAGCCTCTCACCACCTCTTCTCTACTGTGTCTGCAAACATAACTGCAGCCTCTCTCTGGCTCCCCTCTCATGTATATACACAGTTTGGGGCTGCCTTATTAGCTATGGTTCTGTACAGTGAACAGAAGGGTATTTTTAGGTAGAAGCCATGCGTTTTTTGGATGACAAGGTTTTATATTCAAAGACTGCAGGAGCAATGACTTCTTCATGTATTACATAAAGCATATCTAAACCCAAAAACTAAAATGTAATATATTGCAGATTACAAGTATTTTAATGAGATAACTGTATTAGTTTTCTTTTTTCTCCTTTTTATTCCTGGTTATCCTGTGAATAAAACACTCTGTGCCCCAGTTATCAATGTTTGCCTTTGTTCAGCTATTTATTTCAGGTACTATATATAGTGCCATAAGTTTACACAGCTCTTCACATACTGTATATATACTCTGTACATTCACATTAGTCCCTGCCTTCAAGGAGCTTACAACCTACGGTCCCTACCTCAAATTAATACATATACTAGGAACAACTTAGACAGGAGCCAATTAACCTGCCAGCATGTCTTTGGAGTGTAGGAGAAAACTGGAATATCTGGAGGAAACCCATGCAGGCACAGGGAGCACATGCAAACTCTGTGCAGTTAGTACGGTAGTTGAAATTTGAACCAACAACTCAAGTGCTACTAGTCAGAATTACTAAACACTAAGCCACTGTGCTACATTATATAAAGGTGATGTGACTACATTACAAGTTAGCACTGCTTTTCCTTCCACTTCGCTTCAGATGAGTATTTCTGGCACAATCAATGAAAACTTTGATAACCTGAAAAAGGAAACTAATACAGTTACCATATTTTAGAACTGGTAATCTGCAATATACTGTGTTATAATATTGTACTTGGGTTGAGTTATACTATTTACAGAGTTTAACTAATCAGAAATATTACTTCCAGTAGTGTATTTTCAATAAATGGTCTAGTTTAAAAAAAAAATCTGATGATTGTAACACTCCACAATATCCCATGTGACCAAACAGGCACACTTTTGCTAGTATATAGTATGGTGAAGACTTAATGTCATTCTATTACTGCAGACTGCTTGGTTAGTCTGGCACTTGTGCTATGTACTATGAATATCCTATGTATGTTTCTTTTTTTCTTCAATACAAATTTTTTGTTTCTCGATAAAAAAAAAAAATTCATCCTATTAAATGGGCAGTCCATCCTATAAATATATAGAAATGCTCCATTCAAAGATTCTTTATATAAAACCAGGGGCGGACTGACAACTCATGGGACCCCCTGGGCAATAGGGGATCATGGAGCCCCTGTGTCCTTGCCCAAACTCGAAAAAGCCTAAAAAAGGTACCAGGGGCATCTCATGGGACCCCCTACTGACCCCGGGCCCTCGGGCAGTGCCCGAGTTTCCAAATGGTCAGTCCGCCCCTGTATAAAACTCAAAGTGTTTGTCATATCATCAGCCATTTTATTTGACACTTTAAAATGGACTGCATTTTTTTTAATTCTCACTACCTTGTGTTACTCACATTTGGGTTTCCTATCTTCTCATTACCATGTATAAAAATTTGATAGTCATTGAAGGAACAAAGAGGACCAGCAAGAAGTCCTAAAAATCCCACAGTGTAACTGAAGTATGGGAGGAGTCCAGGTGGAGACCTAGAGACAAGGGCAGAATATGGGAGAGAAAAGGAGTATTTGAACATGAATTATGAATACAATGTATGGTACACAATATTTCTAGGGATGCAAGTATGCGTACCAACAATTTCAGTCAAGTATTTGCCGATACCGAGTACATATTTCTATTTTTGTACATACCCTGTATTTCCTTTTTCAGTTCTGGACTTTACCATACAGAATGGAGCTAATCTTTTACTCAACTGAGAAGCACAGAAAGTCAGAAAAAAACAAAGTAGAGGACAGAGAGAGTAGAGCAAAGGAACACAAACTCAGGGTGTACACACATTTGCGTGACCAGTACTGAGACAAGGCCCTTTAGCACCCAAGTCAAAAAGTGCACTACCTCATAAGCTATGAACTACTGTATGTCAGCAGCATATTTGTGGCCTCATCATCTTGCTGAAACACCCAAGGCAGCTGTCTCTTCTGCCTACTCCAT